CCTACTTGTTGTTCCTAGAGTATTTAAAAGTAGAATGGGAGGCAGAGCCTTCAGTTTTCAGGCCCCTCTTCTGTGGAACCAGCTTCCAGTTTGGATTCAGCAGACAGACACTGTATTGTAGGGTCTACCTTACAATATAAAGCGCTTTGAGGCGACTGTTGTTGTGATTTGGCGCTATATAAATAAAACTGAATCGAAGTATACAGAACACATGTAGACAGGTTGGTCAAAGGTTGGTCCCATGCACTCTCACACACTCTCAGGAGGATAAGGACCTGGTCCAGTGTTCCACAACCAGGACAAATCTTGCTCTGACCGGACCTAACATGGAGACTTAGGTCCAAAATTCAGTGTTTTGCTGACCCATCCATCCACCTTAAACTTCTTGCTTTACATCTATTTCTTTGGTCTCATCAAAAATTACTACAGCCACTAGAGGGCGATGTTCCTCATATTTAAAGGCCAGAGATATAGCTTATAGCCTCTTTTCCAAAGCGAAGGCTTCGCAGATGGTCAGTAACATAGAACAGGAAACCTCTTTTACACTGTTTGGTTCTTGATTTTGGTGTGTTTCAGTATATGATTTAGTGACGTTTTTGTTTCATACTTAAACCTAATGACTGTGACGATTCATTTTTTCGTATTTGCTTCATCACTTAAGTCGAGTGTAACATACACAAACATTTGAAAAAATCCTTTTCTGTCTGTACGTAGATAGCTGCAGCTGTTATCATTATCTGTGCTCACATGTTGGTCCAGTTATTTTGGGCCAATAAACACCTGTGAAAAATTCATTAGTAGCAGCAGTATTATTTACGGCTTGAGTTAAACATCTGACAGAAGTTTACATCTCTTGACTTCAGCTATATCAAGCTTCATGCCACAACCAGGTCTGCGCCAGTGGAAATACTTTTTCACCAACTTAAGTTCAATAATTTAATTTAATTTAATTGTTTGACAGCACTAATATTATTATTATATATGTATACTTACCTATTAGTATATAGGTTTTTAAAAAGTTGTATTTCACAGGAGAAGCTGAAAGACTGAAGACAAACTCTCATTTAACATTCTTTGTGTTATGTTGTTTAAATGTCAGTTACAAGCTTAAATATAAAGTTGAAAAAAAGTAACTGCAACCAAGCTATTGATCAAGTAATTGTGATTAATTGAGATTAATTAGTTATTTTTTTTTATCTATTGACAGCACTACTAATAATATATTTTGGGGCATCACACCTGATTGTTCAGCAGAATTAAAATGTCTAATAAAAAAAATCCCATTTTCATCCTGCAGACATTAAACATGTTATTTATATTAAAAAGGGAAAATCAAGTGATCACTGTGATCACTGATGATTATATACGCCCCACATGGGTGAAGCAATCGTCTGAACTCCCTGAAGTGAACAAGTGTCTGTGCTCCCTAAACCCATTTTAAACATTATCCTTTGTGTTTGGGGTGAAATGTTTTGTTCTGTGTACGTTTGCATTTTTGGTCATGGAGAAAATGTTATTGGGAGTACTCCAGGTCATTTCCCCATTTGAGTATTGGTAGCGCAATAGATACATCAGTGTTGGAAATTACTTTGCATAGTTTGGAGGTTATTGTTCTGGGGTGATTTTCATTATTTCTTCAGTTCACCTGGAAGGAAGCGGTGGATTAATTGTTTGGAAATCTTGGATTGGATTTAATCTTTCCGTCAGCTTCCCACCTCGGGAGCGCTGTCTCCTTGAGCTGGCCTTTTGCAGCAGTCAGTGAAAACAAAGTGTTTTCGTGCGATTGTGTCCATGTAGTTTTACATGTTGGTTGGCTTTCAGTCATCATCATCATCATCATCATCATCATCATCCATGAAGTCCTACCGTGTAATAGCATTTCTGGGACTACAACCCATCCTACTGGCAGTTTTCGCTCCAGCTTTAAGCTCAGTGCTGTGCAATAGCTTGATTTACACTTCTCACATATACACGTCTGTACCGTCTGTAAGTTCTGGTGAGCACAAACAGCATGTAAATCTCTCGCTCAGCTGGGAGCGCCGTCTCTGTTGTCCTCTGTTTATGCTAGAGGAAATCGCTCCCTCCCTGGGCCACTCTTGCTTCCCCAGGCTTCAAATGCATCTTTTAACTTGTGCACAAGGATTCAAGAATCTCCGAGGTAAAGCCAAATTCAGTTGTTTCTCAATGTCAGCTGAAAATAACAGGATGTCAAAAAATAAATGAATCTGAAATCCTCTGATTGTCTGTACCTCTCGTTCTCCCCTTTGGCTGAATGGGGGGAAAAAGCTTAAGTGACCTTCTTCTGATAGGTTAAAAATATATTAATAGCCTTAAATGCTTTGCAATCTTCTTCGATTGACAGAGAGATGGCGATCCACTGCTTCCACCGCTTCCTTAAGTAAGCCAAGAAGCGCTCAAGCATAAATACTAACATTCAAGGTCATCTTCCATCAACATCTCAACACTGCAGAAGGTGAGGAGATATTTCTCACCTTAGGCAGTAGACCATTTGTTCTGTGCAACCAACCTATATGGAGGAGGAGG